CAGCCCCCCCCTTCCCCCCCTTGTGTCCAAAATATACATCAGATTTAATAAATCAATTTTTTGGTGTGGCCTTGAGCCAGTACCCTGAGACCACACTGGTCCCCCCTCCTTTTCAAGATTCCTGGAACCACCACTGTGTACAATGTTACCAAAAATATGTTTTTTTTATATAGCCTTGTGTATATTTTTCATTACATACAAACTTACATCTTCTACAATATTCTCCTCCTTTTGATAAACTTTGTAGTTATGATTTGCCAAAGTAAGTTGCTTTCTGAAGCAAGCAAAAATTCCTATAATGCAAATATATTTATAAGATATATATCTGGAATGTCCTGCTAACATGGTGATCTTTGAATATAGACCAATTAAGTCTATTAAATAAAAAAAAATTATTTAATTTAAAATTATGTCAATTTATTTGAAAAAGCTTCTTACATGTAGTTTTTATACAAAATGAATATTTGAAAACATTCAAATTTATACCTGTGCCTAGGGTTGTTCTAACCATTCCCACTGACTGCCCTATCTTCTGCTTGTTGTTTTCCTCCAATTGCATCTTGCATTTTTCTCATGGGTTTTAGAGTACATGGAATCCCACATGATGGGAACGCAAGTCAGACCTCATAAAATTTGTTTCAATATTTTGCAAAGTGAATTTGACATTAAAAATCTATTATCATAATAAAGACCTGTACATCATTATCAAGTTGAATGCTGAGAAAGCAGTGTCTTCTTCATTTGATGAATTCCTTTGCCATTCACACCTTAATTCCATTTTAAAAAGTTGAAAAACACATCATTTTTCCGTTATTGTTTCATGTTTATTTTTCTGGCGTCTGTTTTTGCCACATGTTGTTATAAACTTCTTTAGACTTCAATACAGGAGAGTCAACAAAGGGAAATAACACCAGTTTAATTTTTTGTCTTCAGTGCAAAAGAGTCAGCAAAGGGAAATAACTCTAGGTTAATTTTTAGGAAAAGTTATAATTTGAGGGGATTGGAATATGACTTTTAACTGATTTCCCCACCTCAAATCTTTTTACATCTTTTAGATCTAAGCTTGATCTTACTAAAAAGATCTTTTTTCTAAGTTTCAATTGCCTGCAAAATTTAATATGCATATCAAGAAATAGGCACCTTTGTATTCATTTTTATGACAAATTCATGTAAATTGATCTGTATCATATTAAAAACCTTGGGTTAAATTGAATAAAAATTAGATGCACAGAAACTTTGATTACTTAGCTATAAAATGAAACCCATGTTATGTTCATAACTTTCCTACATTAAGGAAGCACGGAATTATTTTACATGGTGATGACAATCAGGTCAGTTTTGCCATGACAAAATATTTCAAAGTCGTTGCTATGGAAACCAAGGAGGTACTGTCCAAAATTTACCCACCAATGGTCTTTATATAGGGCACTCTCTAATATTATAGTGATAAAATAAAATTCCATGATAGTGCGTGGCCAAGCATTTTTGGTCCTTACAGAGAATTGATGTTAATGTCTATATATGCTATTGTACACTTCTTCTAAAACAAGTTTGGATAAACAGAACATCTAAAATATATGTTAAGTAATTTTTGTACATTTTTCTTTGAATTATAAAAGAATTTTCGTCAATTGATATCTTTTCAAAATCCCTGGTAATGCATGCTGATTTTTTTGTCTACGAACATCTGATGGCACTATAATCTTAAATTAAGAATATCTCGAAAAATTATCAGTAGGTAAGGTACGTTGCGTTTGTCCTTAGGTGATACTTTTGGTATCTATACTTATAAATTAATAAATTTAAACTCCGAAACGGGTGCAGCAGAGTTCTTACTAACTCCTCTATGAATAGACTAGATACAAGATGATGTCCGTAAACTATATTCAGATTTCACACGCAAAGTAAGTATCGTTCATTAAATTAAAAGTCTACTTTCATTTTCTATAAACAGCCTTGAAATAGCAAAAACGTGATTACGGAGGCGGTTCCGGTTGGCGGATCTAAGTTACTGGCAATTTTCAATGAAATTGACAATAAGCAATCGTTTATTTATTTCATAAAACATCATCACTAAATTATTCAATCAAAACTGAATTTAAATGATATAAAAGAAATAAGTTGTGATAAACGATTAAAAAGGGAAATGTGCAAATTATTTTCGTCATTCACTGATCTTAATACTGACGGAAACTTCTAGAACATCATATAGCACCGAGCCCGATGTTAAAAAGAAAAACGAGGCGATAATAGCTGCATGCATGAACATAAAAAAAGCTTTTGTGTGAATGGTCATTGAAATAATGGTATTTCATTGATAACGCTATAAGTTGTGAATATATTTATATATTGAAAAACTATTAGTAGGTTTTCCTAATAAATTTATCTGTAAAATTTGTATATTCCTCACTGAGAGCATATGGACAACGAACCCGAAGTACAATTATATGTACTTCGTAATACATTTGCTTACATGAAAAGAGAAAAATTGATAAATAAGGTATTGTTTAAATACAATTAAAGCTGTTAAAATTTTGTGCTTTAAGCAATACATTTCAGTTTTTTTTCTAAGTACAGTCTTTTGTATCAAATACTCGGCCTTTTCAGGGGGCATAAAAAACTAATGTTTACAAAAGAAAAAACAACTATTTATCATTAAAATGTGCATATTCGCTGTCTTTATCCTTGACGGAAATGAAAAAAGAGCACCTGAAGTGCAATATTCATAACATAGTATATTTTTAATTTAACAGGTTTCACAATAAACGTTAACGTCAATTAATAAAATTGTTATTTTCAAGTTTTTCCATTGGGGGGGGGGGGGGGGGGTGGGGGGGTGACGTACATCTACTTCTGCTCCAAAGCGAAATGCGGGATTTTGAACAAAGTATTTCTTCCTGCTATAAGCCTGTAGGCTGTCAGTAGAAACTACAACTATCTTTAGGAGATGTTCTAAAAGCCCCACACTAAATCATTCTATTCTTAAATATAGTTCTGTACACACCAAAAGGATCTTCAAGATGTAATTTCAAAATTAATTTAGCTTATTGTCCCCCGCTTTCGCGAAAGCGAGGGAACATTAAATCTCATTCGTCTGTCCGTCTGTCTGTCACATAAACTTTAACCTTGGTCATAACTTTTGAATGAGAAGAGATAGGGCTTTCATATTTCACATGTACATTACCCGTGACAAGACCTTTCCAAATATACTTTGAATTTTGACCCCGTGACCTTGACCTTGAAATTTGACCTACTTTTCAAAGTTTTTAGCATTACTTTAAATTGGTCATAACTTTTGAATGAGAAAATATCAAATAAGTATATTACCTGTGACAAGACATTTCCAAAAATATATTATGATTTTTGACCCCGTTACCATGACCTTGAAGTTTGATCTAATTTTCAAAAAAATTATCTTTTACTTATAACTTTTGATTGAGAAGAGATAGGGCATTTATATTTGACATGTGCATTACCTGTGACAAGATCTTTAGAAACATACCAAGGTTTTTGACCCCCTTGACCCCATGACCCTGAAGTTTGACCTACTTTTCGAAGTTTATATCTTTACGCATAACTTTTGAATATGAATAGATAGAGCTTTCACATTTGACATGTGCCACACCAGTGAGAAGGTGTTTCTAAGCATGCTATGACTTTGTACCCCTTGACTTTGACCTTCATGTTTGACTTAATTTTTTAAAAAGACCTCTTTTGAATGACATATGATAGGGCTTTCATATTTGAGAAGTGCATTACCAGTGTCAGAATATTTCCAATTGTGCGATGATATTTGACACCGTTTCAAGGCAAAGTAAACACAAGGTCTGACAAACTTAGGCCAACGTACTGCTGACCTTACAGAAAAGCATTTCGTTTGAACGAAATAGCTAGAACAAAATACCCTTAAAAATAAGTATAGGTAAAGTCTTCAACTTACCAGAATTAAAATAAACTGCCATTCTGATGAAAGCATATTCTTTGTGATCAAGATTCATTGTTTGACACTTCCGGATGAAGCACTGAAGATTTTTAACTGATTTCATGGTGGGCTGGCTAGGTGGGGGTCCCCCGATTCCTCATAATATAAACTTTTGAAAAGTATTATAAACAAACAAATTATTACTACTCTATTTGTAAGTCATAAAAGTAAAATGACCAGACTTTTTGATAAAAGTATGTATAACAAGAAAAAGACTCGTTCTACAATGAAAAGAGAGTGTCTCCCCAAAGTAAAATTTGCAGTTTATCTAATCGAAAAGAGACTGTGCCTTGTGTTAAAATTCACGTATCAAAATTTAATATCTTTTGTTTACAATAATTATAAATTTAAAAAAAGACGAAAGAACCACGTAAAATGTATCTATTTGAAAAGTATGACTAATGTTTTTCTCAGGAAAAAAATTCATTATCTTGATCATCAGAAGATAATACATGTAAAGTTTGTAATTTTGTCTTTGAGTAACACCCGAACAGAGGCCATTATGTTTATTTGATTAAAAAATCAGGTTTCCCCATGCAGATTTTTATTCGCTCGTGATGACATCAGCCATGTTTGTTGCAATACTTTTGGCCCTCAGTGTACATCATTTAAGGAATGTCTATCTTAATTTTGGTTGTTATCGAGTGATTAATTACACCGATAGCACATGGTAATTTAAGCATACAGGACTTTGCTGTATATATATATATATATATATATATATATATATATATATATATATATATATATATATATATATATATATATATATTGTTGTGTCCAAATTGTTGACCAAATTGTTGCTTTGATGGAAACATGTCGTTCCATATAAAAAAGCGCAAGAAGTACATTCAGAAATAAACACAAAATCCATAATAGATGAGAAAATTCAACTTTAATTGGAAAGCTGACAACAGAATAAATTTTACCCAATGCTATTGAAGAACAGAAGACCAGGGCTTTTTTTGCGACGTTTTCATACAAAATGTTACATCATCATAGTGTGAGAAGTGATAGGAAGCAGCTCTTTCCATTTCACTGAATCCGTGTAGATACATATATTACAATATATACGTATAGATAGATAGATAGATAGATAGATAGATAGATAGATAGATAGATAGATAGATATTAGTGTGTGTATTAATTCTACAAAAAAGCGAACACAATCTTAATGTATTAATCGGTATTGATGTTCGTACTTATTGTTAGCATTCGAAACGTCAATCTGCTTTTTCAAAAGGATTCTCTGTATGCTTGCTCTATTTTTTTTAAGTCTCCCTCAAGTTGGGAGGCTATCTTCCGCACCTCGTTTGAAGCTTCAGAGGGATTATTGTTGTGGATATCGATGGCAGATTTCACAAGCTCATAGATATCGAACGGTAAAATTGCAACTGATAGGACGATGCCGATCGCTTTGCCAAATCTTGCAATAAACCTTAAGCCTTGTGCCCCTCCTTCTCCTCCTACCCCAGCGAGTCTAATCAAAAACTTTGCTCCTGCCGTCATTGCTCTCGTTCCTTTTAAAGCGGCTTCGGTATATTCGGCATATTTTTGAAGGTCTGAAATAAGAATTTCTGTGAACTTCTTGTCCTCGTCAAGATACCGTTGAACCTCTGTTATTTTTCCGTTTTCAAGCAAGGTTTTTGCAATACTGGTGCCAATTGTAACAACAGCTCCTGCACCCCCAAATGCTCCGGCTGCTACTGCTGGCAGCAGTGAAATACCCCCCGTAAATGGTGCCGCTATGAGACATCCTGTAGCTATTATTCCCCCAAGCACAGATGTGCTAGCTCCAGCTACTCTCGCAATTCTGCTGTCTTTAGTAATGGCGTTTATATCATCTGCCAGTCTTCGTAGCTCGCGAATTGTTTTTTTGCGTGCTGACATCCATTCCCTGCAAACTCTTTTTATCTCTTCTTCTGCCATTTCTGAAAAGCAGAAGAACATCAGTCATAAAGACCAACTGTATGTTTTTTAAGCTTCCTCCCACCACACTTTACGTACTTACTCCTTTTATAGCTGATGAATTCCGTCCAATGGCGCTGTTGCAGATTATATTAAATATATTGCATTTTGCTAATTGTTGCAAGAGAATAATATGATAAATTGCAACAATTCTTTGGTCTTTCACTCAGTACCTATGTTTCTGTATTTTATTTGCAGCAGAATTTTTCTATCACTAACACACAAAAACAAATATGAATAGATTGAATCTCCCAACACGCAGAAGTCATCACAAAAAGCGATGACACGGTGAATGGTTTAAGTAACTGAAAATTTCACAGATCACTACACATAATTAAAGAGAAATCATAATGCAGTATATCTGTTTCGTGATGCAACCTACTACTATCAAATGTGATGTTATGTTAATGTGTTACGACTAATTACATATTGCACAAAAATATCGTAAAGAAAAAGTAGAAAAGTAGAAAATGTTTTAAAAGAGGAAGTCCTTTTCTTTGTAAAAAATAATTTTTATATCACTGTTAACCGGGCATGTACGTGCGCAACGACTTTTCCGGACTACCGAGGTGTCCTGTTTACTGAATCATCCGAAATCATAGATTTTCTAGTACGTGTCGGATTTATGAAAAATAAATACATAAATTAATAAATCGACAAAGAAATGAATAAAAATATATTTTGCGAGTTTTGCGAGATGAAACTATTAAGAAAAATGAGAAAGAGCAGTGTAATAGTTATGGTCACAGATCTTTACTGGTTGATAATATCTCAGTTGCCGTGAAATTGACAGACTTTGCACATCTCAAACTATGAAAATTCCTTTAAAATGATATTGAATCATCATAACTTTGATTTACGTAGATCACCAAAAAATGTCAATATGAAATGAATAAAAATGGAAGGCAATTGATCCGCCTGAAAGGAAAATAATTCTTAGAGAATTTACCCGAAAATGTAGGAAAATGATTCAAAACCAGTAAATTGCGAAATCACATGAAAAGACTTCATTTAATCCGAGGAATCAGAGCTTTTAGCATGGTGACATCAACTTATATTCCGATATTATTAATCAAAAAATACTCGCGCTACATAAATTCAATTAGCTGTAGAATGTAGAATGTTCGGCGTATAACACTTCAAAAACTACAAGCTGTGAGTGCAAAACTTTGAAAACACATCGATTCAAAACCCAACTTTACAGCCTTATAATGTGCATAAATGGCTTACAGTGAGACAAGAAGGAACTGTGGTTTTGCTGTATATAATTCATTTTTTTTCAATTATAGAAATATTTTTATACTGCATTTGGAATTCCGTTCTCGATTTTCTTTTCCAGTTCCATAATTCACATTTATGATAATCGAGACACTGTAACACTACAAAAATTTAATTCCCGTGAATTCGGTCCGGATATTTAAATTTTCGGGTCCATCGATTTCCGCATGAACTAGGCATCAATTTACATGTATACAGAACTAGAAAGCTCCCTAATTCGCGAATATTGGCAATGAATAATTAAACAACAACAACATAAATTATACTTTGAAAAAGTGCATTTCGTTCCCGCAATGATTTAAACGTCCATTTTATATGACCCACTGTATCGGAGCCTGTTGTTTGGGTGGGAGAAGTGACAATTGAAATAAACGCAGTGGGATTTCGGGAAACAAAGCGCTCGTGAAAAGACTAAATCTTCGACATTTTAGAATCTATTTGTTAGGCATTTCATAGGTTTTCCAAGACAGAATTACGGTTGATTTTAATTTGGAGAAATAATGCATACCTTTGGCCAAATATAAAACAAAGTTTTTTCTCTGGAGACTGTATCCTATGGATTGACACTCTCAAACGAAACGTGGTCGCGGTGCCTGAGACACAGTGCTCGCTAAAATTCAAAATGTATTTTGTTTTCTGACCTGACCACTGGTGCTCATCTTCTGAGAATCATTTTTATGCTTCCTTTAATGCAAATCACACTTTTTCTTTCTGTTTTCTTTGTTAAAATCAGTAGACATATTAAAATATTGCTTCTAAACAAACTCTATATATAGGTAAACGATTGAAACTTTTTATCGACATAAAGATATAAGAAAGACTTTCTTCATATTTAGATGCGTTGTCTAACATTTTACAGCTGAAAAGTAATTCTCGATGTTAATATTTCGTCTTGAAAATTAACAAGAGACCCCCAACAAGGCTAAATCTGCACATAATACGATGGATGAGCAATAATACATTGATAATTATACTGAACGTGTGAAGCGTTCTTACTCTGATAGTGTAAACCAGTTCACATGAATAGAGCATAAAAGAATCACGAAAACTTACCGTATCTTGCGAGATGTGAACCGTTTATCCACCTTCTCTGCAGAATGTTTTTATACATCCATAAACATATTTATAGTCGATCGGTTACTGAAAAGCATCCAAACGAAAAAAAAAATCCCATATATGGGATTATTTTTCATTTGAAGTTCTTTCTGAGAAGAGTCAGTGGGTTAGGATGAAAAATACCTGACCTACTAAAAATGAACGCTGAAATTCTGTTCCGAGAACTGAATGAAATACTTTTTTTTTATCAGATCATCTTGTGGGTAAAGCCCATTGAAACTCCTGAATTCCAACAAAAAAGAAACACATTTTTCTGGGTATTTAGATGTAACTTTAACAAAAACATCAACTACAAATATTAGAGGTGCAATGGGCAACAACACTCATCTGAGCAACCTTTCTAATTAATATGTTGATATAAATCTCATAATTTTGACTCCCTCATTTTCACCCCTTGGATGAGGGCCAATTGGTTTGTAAAAAGCAAAATATACACAACATGAGGATGCTTGATTTTTTCTTGGAAAAATGCTGCTGGAAGTTCTTGAGAAGATTTAAAAAAAATTGTTCTACATTCCATTTAAAAAATTCTGTAGTTACTGCCCCATGGTCATAAACTATTTTGAAATCAAACTGAACTAATATTTGCTCCGCATCTGCATTTCCTTTTCCTAAATTTTCCTGTAAAATTCTGCATCCCCAGCCTGGGCAGGAAATTGAAAGAGGAATGGCTTGACCATATTACACTGCAGCAGGATGCTTGTATAATAATTTCATAAATAATAGTCACATCATTTTTAAAGAAGATTTTAAAAGATATTTCCTAAGTAAAAATATACACCCTCTTGCGGCCCCATCCGTGGTTCTGGGCCACGGTTTGAATCTATAATATCTCAGAGTGCTTGCAAAATCATTTTACAACTTGCATCTGTAGTTCTTGAGAAGGCAAATATGCTCTATACTCTCATGCAAAATTTTGCACCCTTTGAGTGGCCCTATCCCTGCCTCTGTGGACACGATTTGAATGAACTTGAATCTACACCACATCATGCAGGATTCTTGCATAATAATTGCACAAATTGTAGTCTTAAAGTTCATAAGAAGATTTTTGAAGATTTTTTAAAATGTACTCTCATTAAGACTTTGCATCCTCCTGTGGCCCCATCCTTGTTCCAAGTGTCATAGTTGAACAAACTTGAATCTACTCTACATCAGAATGCTTGCATGATAATTTCACAAATTGTAGCCTCATGGTTCTGGAGAAGAGGATTTTTCTTATATATTCTTATACTTTGCCCTACTGTGGCCCCATCCCATGCAAAATATTGAACCCCCTCAAGTTTCAGTCCTTGGAGAGGGGTTCAATATATTATGGCCATAAAATATTGAATCCCCCTAAAAGTATTATGGTTGACATTCTCCCCACCTGTATCTGTCACATCTGGGATGGGGTTCAAAATATAGATGTGAAATATTAAGCCCCCTCTCCCTCTACTTGATACTTCTAAGGTAAGAATTCAAAATATAATTGATGAGAAATATTGAAACCCTCAAGTTTCCTTGGAAAGGGGTTCAATATATTTTGGGCATAAAATATTGACACCCCTCCCCCAAGAATGGTTATGGTTGGGGATTGTGAAATTCTCCCCTACCCATCTGTCACATCTGGGAAGGGGGTAATATTTCAAATCCCCCACCCTCCTTGAGTGAAAATGCGAATTTTGTGGTCATAATATTTTGAATCCCCCTCCAACAATTGAAAAATATGGGGATTCATTATTTTACAGTCAAAATATTTTGAATCCCCACCCTCCTTAAGTGAACATGCAATGGGGTTCACTATTTTGCAGTCATAATATTTATGAATCCCCCTTCCAAAAGTCATAACATTTTGAATCTTTCTCCTAGTAGTAAAAAATAAGGGGGTTCACTATTTTGCAGTCAATAATCCTTTATCGGAAGTGAAAAATAGGTGTAGGACTACTTATCTCTTTTACATATTACTTATCTCTTTTATATATATATATATATATATATATATATATATATATATATATATATATATATATATATAATATATATATATATATAAATATAAATATATATATATATATATATATATATATATATATATATATATATATATATATATATATATATATAGGATATTCAATGTTTTGTAGATGCATATGGAATTTATTTCACGAGTGGGACAGGATTTTTTTTTATATTTTCACGAGTGCGAAGCACGAGTGAAAATATCAAAAAATCCTGTCTCACGAGTGAAATAAATTCCATTTTCATCTACAAAACATTGAATTTTCTGTTTATTACATTTTCTTTGATTTTCCCTTTGCCTCTGTCTTTTCTTAAGGTATGTCACTCGTGAAATTTGTTATATCAAGGATTTTTTGAGAAGTATATTTTGGATAAGTACTCATATAGTATGACTCAAAATCGCAGAGAAAATGGGGGGTCAGTGTGCATCTAACTGAGCTACGGTACAATTAAGTTGACCTTTTTGCACTTAAATTGTAACTCTTTGGTTCATCACTTTAACCGTTATCATATTTTATAAGATGTAACCATGGCAATAAACATAATCTTATTTTACGTAAAATAGTTTGAATAATATTTATCATTGAACAAATCATGCAAATTGATGCGCGTAAATTATCGTGTGACCTTTTTGCACTAAAAAAAGTCTCATATTTGGGGTATAAAAAATCTAAATAGGCAATAGTATATATATTTTCTTGTATCAAACTTTTTACGACTTAAGTGCTGATCAGTGAAAAGTATCGAGTAGTTTAAAATAATGAAAGAAAAAGTTGGGGTCAGTGATGTAAATTTTGAAATATTGGTCAAAATATGCAATTTTCAAGCAAAAAACTGTGTAAATTTTATCTTGCCTTCCTTAATATATCTTCATTTCTTGGCAATGTTTGTTGAGCGAAGGTGTAAATTTTGTTGTAATAATATAAATTGAGACCTATATTTTATATTCCAGGCATATCATAACGGAAAATATTCTCTGAGTAAAAGTATGTGAGGCTAAAGTTCCAAGATATTAAATTTAATAAATGTGTAGATTTGCAGAATTTTCTGCTAAATATCCTTCCGCCACAAGAAATAGTCCCTTATAAATCTTGCTTCTTTGTGAATTTTTGAGCAGTTTTTTAATTGAATGTTGAACATTTTACATTGTTTAATTTAAATATGTTATAAAGGTTGAATTGTAATAAATAGTTTTTAAGTAAGAGGTTCTGACTGAAATTTTCTAAAAGGCTGACGAGTGACATACCTTAACACAGTGTCATAGGCTTGACGTCATAGTTGAGCGGTTGAGACGTCATAGCATAGCAGTTGTGAGATTGAAAACATTACATAGCATGGATTTTAGCAACATATTTGGGGGAAAATGTGCAGTTTTAGCTCTGTCAAGATGATTTAGTTACTACCGTATATACTCGCCTATAAGTCGGTCCGCCTATAAGTCGGTTGTATTTTTTAAGCTTATATTAGAGGGTTTGGCCCTCTAAAATACCAATCTTTTTATAACTCGCCTATAAGTCGGACATAGAGTTTTGGACCAAAATTTAACTCCCAAAAAACCGACTTATAGGCGAGTATATACGGTATCTCTATCTTATGACAGGCCAGAAATTAATTTTTACTTACTTGATATCCTTTCACACTGTGAGAGAATATCATTTTGGGTATCCTTTCACAGTGTGAGAGAATATCACTTTTATTCAATAAATAAATCACAGTATTTCACTGTTGAAAATGTAATATATATATATATATATATATATATATATATATATATATATATATATATATATATATATATATATATATATATATATATATATCCTTCAAGGGGAAAATTAAGTATCTGTATACTGCTCACATGACACAGTCAATTATCTTTTTTTAATCCAAAAAACATCAGCAAATTGCATTTCAAGGGATGCCATTACAAGGCAGTGTATTGATGCCGCGGCTCCTTCATTTAAATGAAAAATAAAATAATCAGTACTAAATTTTTTATTCTGTTGTTTAATTGATACAAAAATTCAATTGGCAATCCCTGCTTTTAAGGTAATTTCATCTTTGATAAAATGCTATAAATTCTAAGCAACAGTATATTCAGATAGATCAAGTCGACATATGAATGGAAGTGACAATTGTTAATTGATATTTACATGTATCGTCGTCGATATATCTAAATGTCGAGTCGAAAACCACAACAAGTTTTTTTCTTCTCGTGTGTAAGTTTTTGAATAAATTCTGCTTCATAAGAATACAAAAATAGGTCTGCTAAGAACGAGGCACAGTTGGTGCCCTGTCCCATGGGAATTCCGACAGATTGTTGAAAGACTTGATCTCCAAAAAAGTACATAGATATCGTTAACAACGTGTTGAAAAGTAGCATGAAAATTACCGTATATACTCGCCTATAAGTCGGTTTTTTGGGAGTTAACTTTTTGTCTAAAACTCTATGTCCAACTTATAGGCGAGTCATCAAA